GAACTGCAGCTCAGGAGGAGCTGGGTGTTGTATCATGGCAATGCAGACAGACAGCTTTCAGGTTAGATTGGAGCCCAGGTCTATGAAATAACTTGTACCTCAAAGGATGCTAAAAAGCTATAAGGGATTGCAGGCAATGGGGTGCAGGTCTGCTGTTAAGGCTGTGGATGGTGTACAAGATGTTTCCCTGTGTTTCTTGCCCCAATGAAGTAAAAAATAATTTGGTTTGGGAATTTTGAGAAAACTTCTGCATCTCTTTTTTAATTTACCCCCATCTAAGAAGGAAAGGGCCATATATTCAGTGCCCACAAGACTGGTGCAAGAAGAAAGGCTGTGCCAGAAATGTGTTTCTTCCTGAGAGTGGAAAACAGCTGAGATACTATTTCCATTTTCATCAAGAGGTGTGGCACAAAACTGAAGGCAGGTAAAAGGACCTGGTCCTGAATGAAAACCTACTATTTACATTTCAAGGCAGGAGATTTCCTCATGAAAAAGGCAGGGGAGCAGAGGTAGCTACTTTTCCTGTCCCCATCCACAATTCTTCTGTAAGAAAAGCCCACACCCCAAGGTTAGCCCGCTCAGGATGTGTGCCACGTGGACCACCCAGAGGAGAAGCAGAGTTGCAGCATGTCCGGTTTAGAACTCTTGGCCCCAGCAGAAGGGAACCCAAACACAGCAACAGGGTCAGAGTCTAGCCCTGACAGTGGATCCATGAGCTTTAAGAAGCCTAGGAAAAGAGCACAAGAAAGGAAAGAGTAATGATATTAGGAAAAAAAACCCCAAAACTCCAGCTCGCAGTCTAATGAACTGCTGAATCCCCCAAGGGCTTGCTTCACCTCCTTTTTCTAGTTCTGGTACAATGCTTGTAAGACTTGATGGATCTGGGTAGGTTTACAGTGGTCACTTTGTAGATACACACTAGAGTCAGTAATAGAATGAACAAGAACTGAATGTGAATTTCAGTTTGTTTCTCTTTTATGCAACTTTCTTTCAGAACAACATCAATATTTACAAAGGGAGGGCAGTTCCCATGTTTCCATGTCACAACATACTGCTCTATCTGCATTCCTGAGAAAAAGGAAATAGGAGTAGTTTCTGAACAAAAATCAGAGCCTGTGATTTTTAACTTTCTGTTCCTCCCATGAAAGCACAGATTATGGTGAAAAGGATGATCTGGAATTGCTTTCTTAGGACTCCATCATGAGACAGTTGTAGCTACCTCACTGACAGCTCCCAGGCTGAGGGCAGGATGCAGGATAAAACAGATTTGTATCCAAAACCAAAACACAATCCAGAAATTCCTCTCTTCCCCACCCACCCCACCCCCCCCAAAAAAAACCAAAAAACAACCCCTCAAATAAACAAACAAAAGCCCCCAAACTCTACTAAACAAAAGGTTTCAGAAAAAAAAAAAAAAAAGCCCCCAAATATCTGAGCTGGATACCACACTTCTTCCCCAGCACCAAAAAAGTGTACAACTTTACAGGCTGGAGTAGAAAGGTTAAATATAGCACTGCAATTTAATTCACGTGACAATTAAAAAATACATGAAATGGTCTTCCTTATGCATGAGAAAAGATTATCAGAGTTTTCCCCTTTTTCTCTTTTAGCTTATTAAAAATGTAACTCCTTCAAGAGTAATAAATTAACTCGGAAAGGATTGCTTAAGTGAGACACAGGTTGTGATTAAAGGAAGTTTGGAGTTCAGGAGAAGTCTGTGTTTGAAAAACGTCCTCAGTGTTTGGAGTATTGCATATGGCTTTTGACAACTAATTTGGGAGAAAAGTGGTAGGGAATGAACCTCAACAGGAAAAGCTCTTGTTTTTTGTCACTTTGTGACATTACTGAAACACTGTTTCCCCTCATTTGTATTTCCCCCCCGCCCCATAAGTTTGTGTTAAAATGTATCAAAACAGAAAAAGACTTTGAAAAAGGCAGCAGAACTGTCATAAAGGATGATGCTAGCTTGTTGGGAGGTTATGCTTTATTATGTAAATCCATGTTCGGGGGTATTTCAAAATGCATATCGTATGGTTAGAAGCAGCTAATTAACTAGATAAACTATACTGCTTCCAAATGAAGCGTACAAATCCATAACATAAATGCCAGGGGCACGACTTCTTGCAGATCTTCAACCTACCTGATTGACCAAAACTGTCCCTCATCTGTACCAGTCAGTCTCGCTTGATGGAGCATTGGCCACACGGCTGCTGGTCCTTGCCAAGCCCCGCTGCTCAAATCCACCTTGTCTTGCTGCTCCTGAGGAGAGGTTCCTGCAGTCCTCTCCCTTGGGTAATTCTGTAGAGTTGAGTACCCCGAGCTTGAATTCAGCTTGGAGCAGAAGGAAATAAAACTTCAGTCTGCAAATAAATCCTTCATTTACTTACATATAAAACCAATGAAACAGTGCGATTTTCCCTTCTTTTTCTGTAATTTAGGAATGGTTAAAATTATTTTCTTGGCAGAAACATCCATTTCTTAACTGCTTAGTGCCCAGGCTGGCAGCACCAGGCTGCAGCAGTGGCTCTGTAAGTACCAGCGCTCACTCTGGAGGTACCAAGGGGGGCTGGATGAAGAACTTGCAATGCATAATTTATTCAGTGAATATAGGCCTTTTTTGTGCTTGTAAGAACTCCGGGAAAGGCAGGTGGGCTTGGCTGGTGTTTTTTTAAATAGTTTGCTGAAATTCTTTAAGGAACTGTGTTGTGTTTGCGTGCAGTACCTGTACGTCAGCAGCTTGTTCAGAGATCCGTTTTAATGTTGGCAGTTCAGGTGTGGGATTTGTCTGGCCTGCCCGCACAGATGCCGGACAGGTGCCCGGACAGGTGCCATGCGCCTCCTGTGCTCTGACACCTGCAAAGGGCAAATGTTGGGAAAGAACTTCTAGTGAATGCCGAGACACTTGTGTAACATCCACGGTTCAGCTGGCTCTATTTCGCCTGAATGTGCCTGAAATCTGCAGCACCTCACGCGTCTGAAAAAAAAATCATAGCGTACGCGGGGGTTGGCAGTCATTAGAGATCTGCGAACGCGCGTGAGAAAAGACACGCTGCGTGGCCGTGCGCTGCCCGGGGCACCGGCCTGCCGCTCCAGCCCGCCGGCCCGGGCGGGGGCACCGCCGCTCCCCTCCGCAAACTTCCCGGGGCACAAAGTTTGCCGGCAGTTCCGCGCCCGCCCGCGGGGAGGGTGGCGGGGCGCAGCGCGGGGGGCGCGCCCTGCCCGCCGCCCCCTCCCCTCCCCTCCACCGCCCCTCGCAGTTTGTTTACAAGTATCAAAGTTGTAATTGAGGAGCTGCCAAGGCACATCTGGATATTTTTCTTCTTCTTCTTCTTCTTTGTGTTAGGGACTGATGTGCAACTAATTAAAGGCAGACAGGCTGGTAGCGTCTGCACACTCAAGCCCCCCCAAATAAAGAGCCTGGTAAGTGACTGGTTTGCTTTCCCCCCTCATCTTTCCCCCCCTTATTCTTCGCGGGTTTTTTTTCTTTTGTTTTTTGTCTTTTTGTGTGTGTGAGGTTTCGGGTTTTAGTTGTGGGGGTTTTTAAGAGGGATGGGTTGTTTGGTTGTGGTTTTTTTTTTTTTTTTTTAATTTTGTAGGTTTAGGTTTGTCGGGTGCTCTTTTTTTCTGTTGTTATCTGGGATCGTAAAAGTAGATTAATACTAGACTTGGGCAATAAAAGGCGTCGCTATATTAATTTATTAATTAATCTGCACCCGCCCCTCCTCCTGAATCTTAAATATGACCTTTGATCTCTCTGTCTTTGGCAGAGCAGACATGCAATATTGAACATGTACGGTCACATTTAGCTTAAGCAGGGACAGAATCGCAAAACCCGGCTAGCAATTTCTATTTATTTATTTCATTCGTGGAAAAGAGGGCGATAGTTAGAGGGGGAGGGAAATCAATAACTGCGTCTCGGGTACCCTTTTCATGCTCCGGAGATGCATCGATTAAACAATAATGACCCGGTTGGTGGGCACCATCATTTTCTCGCTGCTGGTGGCAATAAAGCCTGAGAGGGGATCGCGGGGAGAGAAAAGGTAGCCAGCGAGGGAAGGTTTTGTGGAGAGAAGCCAATTTAATGCTGGGGGAAATAGGGCAAGAAAATGCATATGACTTCTGGCATAAAGGGCTGAACGCTAACATTTTATTCCTTACCAGATGCGTGGCTTTCATACACATGGCTGGCAAAACTAGTTTTATTGAGTAGTTGTTATCGAGGACATGCAGCTAGGTTTTCCTTTCTGGAAACGGGAGAGGGTTTTTTTTGCTGTAAGCAAATCCTTCGCATCCCTCCACAAGACGACGCTTAGCCTAGAGCTTTCCGGGGCAGCCTTTGTATTGCCACTAGACCTCTGAAGGCAGCGAGAGTCTGGGTTTTTCCCTGACGTGGAAACACAGAGGTGGCTCCTGCGAGCTCGGGGTCTTTTTTTTTTTTTCTTTTTTCCCGACGGAAGGACGCCCGCCAGTCCCCAGTGCAGCCGGGGGTGAGGTTCCTTCTGTAGATTTACGCTCCCTTCATCTGGATTTGTTTACATAAAGCCCGCTTTCAGTGCACGACGTTGGGAGAAGACGAAGTTTTTGCACTCGGTAGGTTGGGCTGCAAACGGTTCATTAATCTAATTATGATCGTAATTACCGTAATTGATAACCATTTTGAACTAAACATACCAGAGTCTGGAAACTAGACGTAGCCCCACGAGTGAGCGTTTCTGATAGCCCTGCATCAGAAAAGATGCTGGAAATATCTGAACTATTCAGGTAGAGCATCTGGAAAACAAAGAGGCAGTGTTCATAAACTGAGGGCTTTTTAAGTTATGCTTATGTTTTGCTTTAGTTCGCGCAGGCTGCCATAATATACCTTCCTCATTGCCATGAACTAAAATACCCCCCTTCACCTCCCTGGGGGAGAAAGGGGGCGGTAGGAGATAAAACGGACGCCGTGTCCTTAGCCCCCTCCTAAACTTTCCTAGCCTGGAGCAGAAAGCCATCTTTCCCCGATGAGGGTTAGTTCAGCGGGTACAGCGACGTGCCCTCCCGAGCGTTCCCGGGTTGTCTCTCGGCGAAGCCCCCTGCCCCGCGGCGCCCACAGAGGGGCTGTCCCCGTCTCGGTGTGTGTGTCCCCAGCCCTCCCTGCGCAGCCCCCGGCGGCGGTGACGGGGAATCCTCCCCGAGAGGCTGCGATAAATACTCCGTCGTTAGTACAGCTGCAGGCGCCGGGATCACAAGCTGTGAAATTGCTTAAGTATTTTTTTTTTTTAAACCTAGCCCCGTGCCCCCCGCGGCCTGCAGGCAGCCCCCCCGTACCCGGAGGCGGCGGGGGGGCCGGGGAAGCCGGTGCCGCCGCAACCAGCGCCCGGCGGAGCCAGCTGTGCCGGCAGGCAGCTAATGACCGCCGGGCTCAGAAGGACACCGTGGCAGCTGGCGGCTCCCTCCCCCACCTCCCTCTTTTTTTTTTTTTCTAATTCCTTTTATTTGTTTTCCCCCCTGCTTTTTCTCCCTGCCTTTTCATTTTCCCCGGTGCTGGTAGGTGGGCAGCTCCCGGCCCCCGTGCCGTGTCCCCCGCCCCCCACCTTGTCCCGGGACCGGGTTTGCTCCGCCCGGGCCGGCGCTGGGAGCCCTCTGCCCGCGGCTACGGCGACGTGTGCCCCCCGCCCGTGTGTGCTCCCCCCTCCCCGGGGTGGCCGTGGGCGGCCGTCAGCGCCCCCCGCGCGCGCGCACCCCCTCGGAATTGACTTTTTGTGTTTCAGCTGCGGCAGCTCCCGTGAGGATGCCGGAGGAGCGGCTGCCCGGCCAAGCACCGACCGCGGGGATGCGTCCGGAGGAGGATTAATCGACACCCCCACCCCCGCCCCGTCCCTTCCCGCCGCCCCCCCCGTCCCGGCCACGATGAACACCAACGTGTGCGTGGAGAGCGGCCCCAACCCCGAGGCGCCGGGGCTGCCCAAGGACAGCCACCTGCCCGAAGGGGCCCTCAACAGCCTTGTGGATTACAACTCGGAGATGGAGAGGTACCGCTCCTTCGCCACCTTCTACAAGACCAACGGCGGCGCCTTCCCCCAGGCGGCCAAGATCGCCCGCATCACCACCCCCATCTTCCCCAGCGCGGCCGCCGCCGCCGCCGCCCGCATCGGCATGTCCCCCTGGAACTGCGACACCGCCACGGCCGCCGCCGCCACCGCCATGCTCTGGGGCAGCGGCGGCGGCGGCGGCGCGGCGGGCGGCGCGAGGAAACCCTCCTCCTCCTCCTCCTCCGTCGCCGCCGCCGCCGCCTCCGCGGCCGCCGCCGCCGCCTCCTCGCTGCACGCCGGCAGGGGCGGCATGCATCACCGGAGCGACTCGCAGCGGCTGGGCAAGCCCGGCTGCCCGCCGGCCGAGCAGCCCGCCCTGCCCATGGCCAACGGCAACTTCCTCTCCACCCTCGCCCCCGAGCACTGCCGGCCGCTGGCCGGCGAGTGCATGAACAAGCTCAAGTGCGGCGCCGCCGAAGCCGAGATCATGAACCTCCCCGACCGCGTCGGCACCTTCTCGGCCATCCCGGCGCTGGGCGGCCTCTCCCTGCCCCCCGGGGTCATCGTCATGACGGCCCTGCACTCCCCCGCCGCGGCCTCGGCCGCCGTCACAGACAGCGCCTTCCAGATCGCCAACCTGGCGGACTGCCCGCAGAGCCACGCCTCGGCCTCGCCCGCCTCCGCCCTGGGCGCCGCCGCCGGCGCGGGGGGCGGCGGAGGCGGCGGCGGTGGCGGCGGAGGCGGAGGGGGGGCCGGCGGCACCGGCGGCGGGGCCGGGGCCGGGGCGGGCAACCCCGCCAAGAAGAAGCGGAAACGCTGCGGGGTGTGCGTGCCCTGCAAGCGGCTCATCAACTGTGGAGTCTGCAGCAGTTGCAGGAACCGCAAAACGGGACACCAGATCTGCAAATTTAGGAAATGTGAAGAGCTTAAGAAAAAACCGGGCACTTCGTTAGAGGTCAGAGGAGATGATTTCTTTTTCCCCAGCCTCCCGCCGTCCCTCCTCAACCCCCTGCCCCCGCCCCTCCAGTGCTTCTTGTCTAGCTTCAAGATGCAGCATCCCTTCTCCGAGGCCTCCTTCAGGCTCTGAGGGAGCCCCCGCCGCGGGCGCGGCTCCCCGCGGCGCGGCCCCGCCGCCCGCCCCTCTCCGCCCCGCAGGGAAGAGAAACGCCGCCTCCCGCGGCGCCCCGCCGAGCCGGCCGCTGGCCCCCGGCCCCGGGCCGAGGAGGGACGGCCGGGGGGCGCCGGCCCCCGCCCCGCCAGCTCGTGGCCGTGACGGAACGATGCTAACCTGGTTTACCTGCCGTGCTGTTTCCATAAGACTGCTGGCTCTCTGGTTCCTTTTTCTTTTTCTTATTTTTTTAAAAGCCGTGCTGTTTCCATAAGACTGCTGGCTCTCTGGTTCCTTTTTCTTATTTTTTTAAAAAAATTCTCTCTCTCCTTTTTTTTTTTTTTTTTCCCTTGTTTTAATTAATGGCAATCATGACGATTCGGGGCGGTTTGTAGGAGCGGGAGGTGGGAAAAGGAAAGTTTTAGCTGAACACCAGGTTCTCGCTGTCAGAAGTTCAGGGAAAGCAATGGCAAGTTCTTCTCCAGGTTGGCTGGTAGCAATGTGTCCCAGACAGACAACGGGCCACGGAGCCCAGTAGTAGGTGAAACGCACACAAGTGATCTCTTTGGCAATGCCTTTTATGAAATAACCTGCTCGTGGTGTATTAAACACAATGGAAGAATAGCACAGGTATGACTGAACTAATTTCTGACTGAACTGTATGTACGGTTATTTTTACAACGTTTCCTCGGAACTGACAATGTATTGTGTTCCCCAAAGCTGTAACAACAGGTTTTCAGATTTGCTAGACGCACGAGAGACAGGCAGATCCCGTGTCGCAGACATCTCAGTTGTTGTATTGGGTACGACAGACAATGGGAACCAAAATACACAACCGTGAGGAAAATGGCAATTGGATGGTATCGTTAGGGGAAGGAAACAAGTGAGAGAAAAGACTAGTAATCATACTTAATTCCTTGTCATTATAAAAATTATAGTGTTGCTGGTTCGACACATGTCTCAGATGCGTCTGAAGGTGTCGAGGATGATGGATTTAGTACAGAGGAGTAGTGTGTGGCGGGTGACACCAAGATTTGTAGGCACAGAAATCAGCAACTAAGTGAGAAATTGCAACTTCCCTCTGTGTGTGTGTGTGTGTGCCTGTGTGTGTTTGCATAGCGGTTTATTCCCTTGCTCATTGCTCGCAGGAGCTCTCTCCAAGAAGAGATGGGATGAGGGATTCCAGGGAAAAAGCAACACTTAGAGCCAATTAATTTGTTCTGTGTTAAATAAATTGAGATAATAGTGTTGGTATTGACACTGTCATGGGACAAAAGCAACATTTGGGGGTTCACTGACATTTGGCTGATAGCATTAACTCTTTCCTAACCAGCCTCATCAAAACAACTAATTAATTCCTTCTTGCAAGAGTGAACTGTCCTTGCTGAAAGTTTCATTTGTAGCTCTGCATCCTTTTAGCTCTTTTTTTTTGTGAATGGTGACCTAGCATCGCTAACACAAAAACCAGGATGGACTTCCCAGGGGATAGAAACTGATTCAGCTCTTGCTTTTCTCAATAATATGCCTTTTCTGGTTTTGCAGCAAGTTTGCAAAAAGGATAGTTAACACGCTAGTCTGTTAATGCTGAGTATAGCCTAAAAGAGACTCCCTGAACCAGAGGCATAGAGAGTTCCCCCCGTACTACCCAGCACTGAGAGTGCCTTTGTGTGCCAAGTTCCCTCATTAGGCTTGCAAACCAGGGTGCTGCTGGGATTTAATGTTTGTGATAAATGATAGGTTCTGATGGTTTATCGATCTGTGCAGAAAGTGAGCTATCTCTGGAAGAAACGAATTTGTACATTATCATATCTTCCTATGGGTTTGTGTGCATCTCTGAGCACATTTCCAGAAGTTCCTTGCTCCTGACAAAGGTGTTCGGTAGTGTTAAAAACTTTTCAGGCGTGCTATGAGAAAGCCTCCCATTAAAATTGTTTAACCACTGTGACTAGTAAAACCCATGGTTTAATTGGCCACTTGTGCTCTCATAACCACCTGCCTTTGCTTCTTTTCTTCATTCTCTCTTTCCCCTTCTTGCTCTCCTGTTTGTGCTCTGTCAGATAGATAAACACAAAAGCTCCTCTGCTGCTGTACTGTGACTCGAAGGAAACAGGTTTCTCTTTCCAGCTGTGGAGATGCCACTAAGGCATCACTTCTCTGCAGGTCATGGCCCATCACAAAGTTTTGTCACAGGATGTGGCTAATTTCTTTACAGAGGTGTGGTCTGTCAGTGGGTGAGGAAGAATAATTTACATGGTGTTTTCCTTATGTCTTCTTTCTTCTTTCTAAGGAATTAAAATTAATAAAGTGACAGAAGGGCTGCCTACAGCACAGGTGCAGCAGCAGTGCTCTGGCTGTACGGCCAGCAGCTGGAAGGGTGTCAGAGGGTGACAGGGCCTCCAGGAGGGCTCTGTGGCAGCGGTGTTGGTGTTGGGGGTGGGCAAGGGCAGCCTCCCTGCAGAGTGAGTGCCTGGAGTGACTCTTGGCCTGTGCTCCCGGGGAATCCACTGCTCTGCGTGGATGATCCCCTGGCACCTTGGTTGGCACACACCCATGGTTATGCGTCAAGGATTGAGGGGCTCACGTTCCACTACACACTTAGATGACTCGTGAATTGTGCTCGACAGTGGCTGCAAAGTGCAGGGGTGATTTATAGCGGGGTGGAACCATGTTTAAAAACAAATGAAAAATTGGAAAAATACCAATAAACTGTAAACTGGCTGACCCCACAGAAACCATTTCCCTCTTTTTCCTTTAAATCTCTTCTACTGGTGCAATGAAGGCACAGGATATAACTCTCAAAGATAGTATATGGAGTTGAAGACAGATTCACGTGAATACTTTCCACTTCCTGACCCTTGCATTTTTCATGAAATGCTTCTCACCCAGCATTTTTTTTAAAACACTTGAATTATTTTTTTCCTACTTTTCTTGTACTGTTTTCACATTAAAAGTGTCCCAATGCTCTAGTATTTTTCATAGAATGTTATTATTACTAGGAAATTTTATGTACAGCAATAATAAATCTATAAAAATCAGATTGACGTCACGTTGCACGCTGCCTACTTGTGTATGTATATTCTGTGTTCATTCAGATTTACAGTTGGTTTAAAGAGACATAATCTTTATTTACCCATAGAGACTACTTATTTTCCTCTGATTGGTGCACATCTGTAACTTCTGCTGCAGGTTATGAAGATTAGGTGCCTGTTGGTAGTTCACATCCTTCTCTCTTTTAAGCGAACCCCATTCAGTGTGTGAATCTCAGTTGCCCCAGTGCTCATTTTCATTAGCGTGACAGCAAGTTCAGGCAGAGAGGCTGACTTGTGTTGGCAGGGGCTGAAGGGTCCTGCCAAATGTGAAATATCAGCTGTTTAGGCACGCTGTCATCGTAGCGGGCACCACTTGCTCCCTTTGTAACAGCTCAGCTAATTGATATGTGTGCTATTAAAGTGAGCGTTTGCATACCAACCTGATTGAGTCAATACCAGCCTCCCAATCCGAGGCACTTGGCTGAGCTGCGCTTCAAGCCAGTGGGATTTTGAGATGGCCTTCTCCAGGGATAGGTTGTGATGATTGATTTCAGCAGGAACGGCGTCTGATCCTGAAAGTCTTAACACCATATGGCATTGCCACGGGGGAGAGAGGCTGCGCTGGCAACCTCCGAACTTGCACTTCGTGTTGCCGTAGCGCGTGCGAGCGCTGTTAAGGGAAGACTGCTGAGCTCTGTGGATAGGGGTCAATTAGTAGGGGCCTCAGAGGAAGCAATTTCCCCGCTGTCTATCTGGCTTTAAATTACATGCACAAGTTAAGTGACGGCATGATGGAATTGAGCAGTGGTGAGGGGGAGCTGTAAAGTCTGATAAGAAGCAGGCGGCTAACACGATCCAGCGGGTTAACTGGAAGGTGGAAAGAAAGACCACCTTGTAGCTCATGTTGCCGTTCATCACTAAACATCAGCAGTGCTGCTGTATGACAGGCTGTCTCTCCTGCCTGCCACTGTCTCGTAGCCCTCCATCTGGCCGAGGCTCCCTGTGTGCATGTGTTAAACGCTTTGCAAAAGGGCAAAAAAGCAGTCCTTGTTCCCGGGCGTTTACAGCTGGAGCAAGAACTGCCATCTGCCCTGAGTGCAATTTACATTGGCGTTGGCTGCAAAGCCCTGATCAGCCCTGAGAGCTGTTTTTTCCCCTCTTTCCTCCTCGTTTGTGACCCTGGTGCTCTGCCACGGTTCTCTTGTTCTTCTGTTCCCAGGCTTGAGCCTGCAGGGAGTGTTCCTGGTGCTGGAACTGGCTGCTAGCACCATAAGAGAGCCCTCACTGCTTGACTGTGGTGGTCGTGCTTGGGGCTTCCAACATGGTGCATGATCGATCCTGCTGTGGCAGTGTGAGCAGGGAGGGGTAGAAGTGAGCGGCAGGGCTAGATCTGACCTTTGCTGGACATTTTGCCATGAGGTTTTGTCACTTTCATTCAGATACTGCGTGTCTGTGATAAACATATGTTCTATGATGAGTTTTCCTTTTGACCTCTGAAGGTTCTTGGGGACTACACCAGGCCTCCTACTGCCACCTCCAGCAGAGACCTGAGCAGATATATCTTTGCTCACCAGTGCCTGATCTCTGCTGCTCAGAAATCTCTTTGCAGGGAGTTGAGCTTCTGTGTAAGGTTCATGTCTTGCAAGGCAGGAATGTGCTGCAGTTGGTGGAAGTTATGGGGTGGAGGAATATGTTTAGAGCCCAGAGGAGATAAACTTTTGGTCTCCTTGCGGTTCTGGCAGATGACTGAGTGGAAGTGATTTCCTCTGAAATGTGGTTGGATGGTGCCTGGTTTACCGTTTCATGTGTTGCTGTTTCCCTTTCCTCGTGTGATACTTGCAAAGCACAGAAAGTGCTCAAACCCCATGACATTACTGTTTAGAGTATAAATGGCTGCTTGATATGATACACTGTGCATACTCTTGTTAAGGGGGGGCAAAAATGAAGTTA